ATCTTAAGAACTGCCAGCTAGACATTCTCCATCACTATTTTTCCAGACTCCTAAACGTTATGACTGAGGGAGAGGGTCCTTATGAAGGAGACTGGCTTGGCCCAACCTAACACCCTGGGGTATGATGGTTGCCTATGAGGCTGGTAGAGCCACCCAGGGAAGCAGCGCAGCCCCAACTCACTGAAGAGTCAGCATCCTCAGACCGCAGGTGATCAGCAATAAAGTGCACGCCTTCCAGTGCCTTCAGCATGCGAGGTGACAGCAGCGGCCCACCCTTCTGCAAGTGAGCCTCCACCTTGGGACCCAAGACCTCTGGGTGCAGACCACCATGGCTGTAGAGGACACCTATGGAGGGGGATGTCACCCATCTGTCTTCCTCCTCCTCTTCCTCCTCCCTCTCTTCTGCATCCACATTGGTCTCCAGCCAGTGATAGGAGGAGCTGAGCTTCAGATCTGGAGGGTCATGGAGCTCCAAGGGTGGCAGGGGCCGGTTCATCAGAAGCCACCGGGGCACACAACCGAGAAAGGCCACCTTCACCCAGTGGGGCATATTGTGGGTTTTGGGGGAGCGGTGGTGGACATTGAGCACAAAGACCGTGATGATGATGGACAGGGTGACGAAGATCATGGTGAAGAGCAGGTACTCGCCGATGAGCGGGATGACCAGGGAGGTGGAGGGGATGATCTCGGTGATGAGCAGGAGGAAGACCGTGAGCGAGAGCAGCACAGAGATGCACAGGGTGATCTTCTCCCCGCAGTCGGAGGGCAGGTAGAAGACGAGCACGGTCAGGCAGGAGATGAGCAGGCAGGGGATGATGAGGTTGATGGTGTAGAAGAGAGGCAGGCGCCGGATGACAAAGTAGTAAGTGACGTCAGGGTAGATCTCGGTGCAGCAGTCGTACTTCTTGCTGTTGTAGGTGCCCGTGGCGTTGACGATGGCCCACTCGCCGCTCTCCCAGTAGTCCTTCAGGTCCACCGTCTGCTCCATCTGCTCCAGGTCGATCTTGGCCTTGTCGTACGTCCAGGAGCCGAACTTCATCTTGCAGTTCTGCTGGTCGAAGGGGAAGAAGGTGACGTCGATGCTGCAGGAGCTCTTGTAGATGGCCGGGGGCACCCAGTGCACGACGCCCGTGGAGAAGAGGTGGGCCTTGGTCATGTGGGTCACTGCAAACTCCCCATCTGCACTGGGGAAAGAAGAAGAGTTGGGTGGCCCAGTACCTCCCAGCTGCCCAAACCAGGGGCTCTGGACAACTGGCAGCAGGGAGACGCCAGCAAAGCCAGGCCTGGCCGAGCTGTCGGGATTTAGGCCAACGTGTGAGACTCTCCCGACGCACTGACGTTTTATAGCTACCTGAGTTGTCTTCTCAAACATCGTCTTTTTAATGACAAAAGTAAAAATTTTGAAGAATACAAAAACCAAGAATTTCAAAAACAGCCACCATTAACACTGACGTTACATAAATATATATTTGGTTGTCCTATACATCATATATATAACAATTTTACATATTTGTGATCATGGAGTATGTGTAGTTTGTTTGTATTCAGTTAAAATTTTTAAGTGATATTTTGTGAGTATACTTTCTCCCCCTCAGATGGAGGTCATGTCTTTTCTACTTGGGATCTTTCGTTCCTTGCTCAGAAGAGACCTAACATCTTTGCTGGTGAAGGACGATACCTCCCGATGCCATCCATTTACCATGCATTTCTGAGCCAGCCTCATCCACTAGGGCCTACACGGGAGTTGTGGGGGGATGCGATGTGAGACTCAGTCTGTCTTTAAGGAGCCAGAAGGAAATGAGATGCAGCCCCAAACACCTACCACACAAGGGAGGAAGGTTAGCAACAGTGCTTTGAGGCTGCCCGACCCTCCCCCATCCCCAAGAACTATGGGAAGGGGACTCCCTTCTGGCTGAAGTGAGCAGGATCACCATGAAGGCTGCCATTTCAGCAAGGCCTTGACTAACATTAGAATTTGGCAGAGAGACAGGGTGGAGAGGGTACCAGTAGAGCATCCTCTGGAACAAAGAACAGAGAAGAAAGACAAAGCTCACACGGGGGCAGGGCATGAGGGGCGGGGCTTGAGGAGGCTGTGGGAGATGAGGCTGGCAGTGTCATGGGGCTAAGCATCTAAGGGCCCACAAGGGCTCTAGGGACAGTGGATTAGCAGTAACTAGTCAGGCGGGGCTTCCTGGAGCCTGAGCCCCTGATTCCGCCTGGGAGATGGCACAGTAAGTCCTGCGCCCGAGTCTTTAAGGAGCCAACGCTCCTCCTCCAGTTCCCAAGGTCAATCCTAAAGGCAGGGGAACCAGAAGAGCACACAGGAAGAGGGACTTCTCTCCCATGGAGTAGTTTCAGGCTAGAGTACTAGCAGGTTGGAAACAGGAAGTTTGAAAGAGAGTAACAAACTGATCAGGGCAAAAGTTTAAATTTTTTTTTTTTAAAAGGTATTTTTGTCATCACACATGATCACCAGTAGATGGCAACATGCGCCTGTTTTGAGGAAGGAAAGGTGTAATTTCCTTGATCTTCCAGTTAACCTGCAGTGGAGTGTTTGGATGGAGGAGACCCTTCTTTAAATGTAAGAACTGGGTTTCAACTTTTGTCCTATTATAAGAATTTCTTGTTAAATCCAGGTACCACTGTCTGAATCCTTACTGGCAATCCTAAAACTCCAGGTCATATCTGATGCTAAGGACTTTGCTCCTGACTTCTGCCAGATGCACAGGAAGCAGAAACTAGAAGGATCTAGGGCACCTGCTCCCTGGCACAGATATATGGGGTGAGGCTTCCGTGATTCCAAAGGTAGCAGCAAACACCTGTGGTGTGAGACCTTCCAGGTAACTCACTCCGACTGTGTGTTTACAGAGATGGTTCCGGTGGGAGGAGTCACTGTCATGTCCCTCTGACCTAATCGGAGGCACCAAAACTCCAGAAGTGGATCTTCTCTCCTTTATTTTATTGTTTAAAAATAGATTTTCCAAATTCGGGTCAAATGAATTGGGAAACACTGGGCTAAATGGGTTTCTTGGCTGTACAACTTCTAATATTTAAATATTATGGTGTCCTAGCTGTGGTACATATAGACAATGGAAAATTACTCAGCCGTAAGAAGAGATGAAACACTGCCATTTGCGACAACATGGATGGACCCCAAGATAATCATGCTAAGCGAAATAAGCCAGACTGAAAAAGTTGAAAATCACATGGTATCACTTACATGTGGTATATAAACCTAAAAGTAACAAACGAACAGGACAAACAGAGACTCAGGGACTTGGACAATGGACTAGTGTTTACCAGAGAGTAGCGGGGAGCGCGGGGAGGAGGGAAGAGGTAGATGGGGTAAAGAGGGTCAAATACAGGGGGGCTGGGGGAGGGTGAAGTGGGTAAAGGGGATCAAATATATGGTAGCTGAAAGAAACTGGACTTTGGGTGGTAATCACACAATAGGATATATAGATATCAAATTATAATGTACACCTGAAAATTATATGATCGTGTCAACCAATGCTACCATAATAAACTTAAAAAAATAAAAAACAAAAATAAAATAAATAAATACAAAGATTTGTTCTTAAATAAATAAATAAATAAATAAATAAATGCTGTGGTGAAATGACATTTTTCAAAGGACCAGGAGGGTCAAGAACATATAATGTTATCCAAAATTATTGGACCACAAGGCCATTTTTCATACCTATTCATATCTCTAGGGATTCCTTAGGGCCCTACTTTAGAAAACATTTTAGATGAACATAGTGCCAAATATCTTTTAATTTTAAGATCTTGACTTCGAAATGAAGAACTACCTACTACCAAACACTATAAATAAACATAGATTTCTATTTCTTCTATCAGCCCCCCTCCACTCCCACCCACTGGGGTTCTCTTCAGAGTCCTCTGCCTTTTATTGGCTTCTAGTCATTATGCTCAAAGACTGGTCCTTTTTGGTCTTGAATATAAGGCAACTCTAAGTAATATAATTTTTTTTTTTTTGAAAAACCATTCCAAGTGAGCTTGCTCCCTTCGAGGGTGTCACTCCTATGCGGCTTGTCTTTTCCAGCAAGGCTGCCATCCTGCAAACCTCCAATCCTTAGGCATTGCTTTTCCCAGCCTGCATGTTTTTCAAATACTACTCAGTGTTTGCAAATCTGTGTCCCACTAGCACAGTGCCAGGCACTGATACATAGTAGGTGCTCAATAAATTTGGACGTATGAGTGAGAGAACAAAATGAAAAAATAGAGGAATCAAGAGAAAAGGTCGAGGAGGGGGGCTAGCTAGTATTAACAAAGCAAGAATTGAGAGGGAAGCAACAAAGCCGAGACACAGGGGGCGCACTTCCCAGGCCCAACTCAGCCACCCTTCCCAGGAGCCTTCCCAGGGGGCCTCCCAGGGGCCTTCCCAGGACCTGGGTGGCTACCTACTTGTTGTAGAGGACAATGTCGGGGATCCAGATCATCTCTGATGGGACCCGGAGGGATGTGACGTTGCCGAAATCGGCCGGATTCCAGTGCAGTTTGTGGTCGCTCCACTCCTGTGTGTGGGTGGGGAGGGGAGTCAGATCGCAGGGTACTGTCACCGGAGGGGCCTCAGGCAAACGTAGGGCAGCTTGGGGACGCCCCAGCAGCGGAACTCAAGACCACAGAGCTCCCACCCCGCTCCCAGCCGCACCGGGCAGGAAAGGCTCCGAGCGGGGAATCAGGAGTCCAGTGTAAGCTGGCTTGCGCTCTTGCTTTGCCCCAGTTCCAGGGCTCAGAGTCGGTCGCCGGCACGGCCAGCTAGTGGTTAGGTCACCCTAGTCCTCATTCTGCCACTCTCTAGCTGGGTGACTCTGGTGGGCCACCTCACTCATATGTAGTAACACTTTTTTAGGGCATCACAATTTACAAAGTTTTTTATACCCTCTGTCTAGGAAAAAGCTCAACAGGAGAACCGGGCAAGGAATGACCAGTGGGTGGAGTATTTCCCCCACTTAACAGATAAGGAAACTGAGGACCGGATTACACAGCTGAGAAAGGGGCACCTAGGAGTCCCAGCAGCGCCTCCACCAGCAGGTCCAAGTGAATGTTTTTCCCCCAAACCAGATTAGGACTCTTCACCTGGAAGCTTTCCTTTGTGGCACTGTCACAAGTGGTGATTACATGTGGATTTGCATATTTATTCATTTATTTAATGTCTCTTTAAGGCCCATGAAGTCAGGGACATCTTTTCCACCCTGCATCCCTAATACCAGGCTCCTGGTAGATGCTCAATAAATGAGTATCTGAGCGATGATAAAACTCCAAAATTGTATAGTCCTGTTTCTGGGAGGGTTTCCCATGTGCCCCTGGACCTGAAAGGGACAACTATTCCAACAGATAATAACTGGTGTTGACACACAATCCTGTCCTTTGTCTCTCAGGGGCCTATAATAATTAAAATAATAACCACGACCATTTATAAAGGCAACTTTGTTATGGGTACTTTAGATCATTCTTTCTAATCTTCATAACAATCCCATAAATGTGGGTGAGGAAAGCGAGATGGAGGATATGCTGCTAGTAACTGGCAGAACTGGGACTTGAACCCCTGCCTCCCGAAGTCCAGGCCTGCCCTAAGTCCAGGGGCCGATTTGCTTTTGTGCGTTTGCGCTAAGATAGTGCAGTGTGGCCCCCATGCATGAAAGGCCCCCACGCATGATGCCTTTCCCCTCTAGGAACAGTCATGTAACGTTTATAAAAACGCATCGGCCTGGGTGGGGATTCAGGAAGGAATGAGGGGAAACGGGATTGGTTCCTGGAAGCAGATGTGGGAAAGGAAAAGCATCTCCCTGCTCCTGCCTCTGTCCAGAGAGGAGCCCTCACCTGCTTTAGCCAGACGTTGGTGGTCATCATTTGGTTCTTCTCATCCTGGCCCATAGGCGGAGAGGGAGAGAGAGGTAAGAGCAGTCAGAGTGACAGAATCAGCCCCAAAAGACAGGGTGGCACGGGATGGGCTGATTCAGGCCCCCCACTTGGCAGAACTTCTTACATGATACTGCAAGCCCAGCCCGCCCATGACCTTTCCTGATACTGCCCGCCTTACTGATTCCTCAGGATCGCACAGGCCGCTTGGGTCCTCTGGGCTTGTGTCCAGTGGAAACAAGCAAAGCATCTAGAAAACCCACTGCTGCTTATCAGGGCCCTCCCAGGAGGGTCTCCGGGGCTTGCGGGGCAGGGAGAGCAGGGAGAGGAGGGAAGGAAGCTCTGATTGAGGTGGGTTGGGGGGCTGGAGCTGGGGAGGGAGGGAGGACCCGGGAAACAGGCCCTTGGTCTCTGGGCTGATCCCAGGGTGCAAAGACGAACCACATCGATGAGCTGGGCGATGGACAGCCCAAAGCGCACGATGACCACGTCTGAGGTGTTTGGCACCGGCCGCGCCCAGCGGTTGTAGCCCCTAAAGAGGTGTTTGAAGAGCCGGTCCTCCGCTTGGCCGGGGCGGGCTTGTGGCGCCTGCGCTGTGGAACAGGAGAGGAGCGTGGGGTCTCCGGAGTTCACGGTGGTGGGCGCTCCGCCCCCACTCCCATCAAATCAGAGCCACTCAACCTCACTAAGCCGCAGGTTCCTCATCTGTAAAGTGGGGACACTATCCAGCACCTGTCTCACAACGCCGTTGAGGATTAAATATGATGATGTTTATTAGAGCTTAACAAAGCAACCAACACATGGTTGGAGCTCAGGAAGTGTCGGTTACTCTGATTATTGTATAAGAAGACTTGAAAATAAGTGCCGGGGAGGCGTGCTGAGGCAGAGGAGTGAGGAAGAAGTCAGACCTAGAGATGAAATTCAGACTTCAACTGAGGAACCTGCAAGGAGGCAGCAATGTGGGGAGACGTCTGGTTTGTGTGGGATGAGCTGCAGGGAGAAGAGTTTTCAGGTGTTATAACGAGCCTTCCATTCCCATCCACTTATCAATGAACCCCTAATGATAACCATGAAATCCTCTGCCACTTTGAGCATCTCCCCCATTTTTTCTTAAACCACTGGTATTTGCTCCTTATTAGCTAGGCAAAATTGTCCCCAAATTGTCTGATGGAATCCGTCATGTCTGTTTTCTCCATGTTCTGCAAACAGCTTCGCCTCTTAGGGTTCCCAAGCAAGCAGAGACTACTGCTCTAAAATTCAGAAAAGCATAGCAATAGCAATAGTTGCCACATATTGAGCGCCTGCTGTATCCCAGGTACTAGTCACAAACTCCCATCTCATGTAGTTCTCATAATAACCCTGAGAGGTTCACAGTACGATTGGTATTTGCAGATAAGGAACATTGAAGCTTAGGGAGGTTCAAGGTGACACAGCTGCCAATGTCAGAGCCATGAGTGCCCCACCACCTTCTCACTGTGGGATGAGCTACTTGAAGTCCCCTGCAGCTTTGGCGTTTGCCATGATCCCACCTGCAGAAGTTTCTTCCATGAGGTGTGAGCTTGCAGTGCAATATGATGTCCTAGGGGTGATACTCACTCACCTGCTGGAATCAGAAGGAGCCACCACAGGCCAAGCTTTGTCATGGCTGGGAGTGCAGGGTAGAAGGGGCCCATGGCTTCAGAAGAGGAGTCTGGACTCCGCTGGACAACAGAAGGCTCGAACCCGCCCCCACAGCACGGCCGAGTTGCTGAAATCTCCAAGCTCCCGCTGGATTCCACACAGCTTCCTCTCACCGCTGCACCTGAGTATGCCCAGGAAATGGTCTTAGGGTAGCGCGTCCTTGACACAGATGTGCTCCTGCTCCTCACACTCCACAGTGGTGTGACCGGTGAGCAGCCAAGCTTCCCAGGAATGGAGGGGTCTCGGGCTTTCCTCGGTTTGAGGAACCCGTATCTTTCGCTTTCTCAGAGTCAAGCAGCTACTCTTCCCTAAGATAAACCTTGACCCACTGGACAGAGGATGTCACAAGATGAGACCGAAGTCCCCATTGCTCTGGCCTCAGTGTTACGTGTGTAAAATGGGGATAATCATACAGCAAAGCGTGGTCAATAAAAGAATTTGGGTGCTATTCATGATAGTCAAAAGGGGGAAGCACCCAAATGCCAATCAGCTGATGAAGGGGAAAAAATGATATGTCCACACAATGGAATACTTTGCGGCCATAAAAAGGAATGACGTGCTGACACGTGCTCCAGCATGGATGGACTTTGAAAACATCATGCAAAGTGAAAGACACCAGAAACAAAAAAACTGCTGCATATTATATGATTCCATGTGTATAAAATATCCAGAATAGGTAAATCTATGGAGACAGAAAGCAGATTAGTGGTTGCCAGGGGCAGGAGAGCAGAGAAGAGGGAGTGACTGCTGGTGAGACAGGTTTCTCTTTGGGGTGATAGGAATGTTCTGCAGTTACCTAGTGGTGATGGTTGCACAATTCTGTGAATGTACTAAATTCACCGAATTGTACATTTTAAAAGGGTGGATTTTATGGTATGCATCTCAAAAAAAGCTGTTGAAAAAGCACCTTCTGGATTAATAAGAACTAGCCAACTCTCCTTAGATTGTGGGGATGTTACTATAAATCAGAACAAAGATGGCTGATTCAAAAAATATCATTCTGGGGATGACAAGGACACTGATGTCAAAGATGTGAGTGAAGTGTTTGAATATTTCAAAAACAGGGAGAGCTGGGGAAAAGCTGTACTTTTAAGTTAATGTATTTATATGTAGTATGTGATTTAAAATGTGGGTCACTAAATGTCTAACCACTATGCTGTATACCTCAATCTAAAATAAAATAATATTGACTGTCAACTCTAATGGAAAAATAAAAATTTAAAAATAAAATAAAATGATAAGAGGGAAAAATATTGAAATATATTAAATACTACTCTAAAAAGTTTACATATTCAAGTTAATACCTTTTTAAAAAAGATAAAAACTCACTTTATTGGGAAAACGGGGCTGTCTTATGTTCGGGCACACATTGTATGTATCGAATGCCAACTGTGTGTTAGGTTCTGGTCAGGTCCTCAGGATAGAGCATTGACTCTCGGTGGAGATAATGGGTTGGTGTTCTCTTTTGGGATGATGAGAATGTTCTGGAACTAGATGGTGGTGATAATGCTTGTGTAACATTGTGCATGTACTAAACGTCACTAAGAATAAATTTTATGTTGTTTATATTTTACCACAATTTAAAAAGAAAGGAGAATATGGCTGAAAGTGCTTTAACAATGTAATCACCAAGTACATGAGAGAATCAAAGTTATTATTAAAAGAGTCATAAAATCTCTTCGATCTGGGTAATTCTCATCCCCCCAGCCACTCTGTTCCCTCTGGGAGCAGCGATTTCGATTTCGTCACTGGTGCTCCTCCTCTCCTCAAACCTGTCACACCGCCCTTGGCCTCTTTGGCAGGAGAAGAGTTTGTGAACTGTGGCCTTGAGTCCTGGCTCCACCACTCAGTGAGCAGCCATTTATTTGCAGGGCACTCAACTCTGCTGGGATTTTGCCTTATCTGTAAGATAAGGATAGCACACTCTCTATTCTGCCCACCCCTCAGGACAGGGGGCAGGGAGCAAATGGGATGGTGCCCATGAAAGCTCCTGACAACTGCAGAGGGTTGGGTCAGGGACAAATTGCTGCCATGGCACAATTTATCAAGGCACAAAGACCCTATGGCATCTCACATTGACAGTTTGTGCCAACTGGTTGGAAGAGAGAGGGTATGGAAGGGATCCGATGTGAATTTCAACGTGTAGATTTCTGAAACATATTTATTATAACAGGCTTTTCCAGAGAGTGTTTGGGAGGGAAAGGCCCTCCTGCCTCAAGTTTTTTGGAAGATTTCAATTCAAAGACTCATTAGAAATTGGTAATCATACTTAACTTCTATTCCCTCAAGAGAAAATAGCCGCTGACCACCAGCCACCCCATCCTCGACACCACACCACACTTCGCCCTGCTCTGAGTTTCCTCACTTAGCATCCTAGCTCTCTCAAGGGTTCTTGGTTCCTTCTGGGCCCCCAAAATCCATATAGCAGATAGAAAAGGCTGGAAGTCACCTGAAAGTGGCTGCTCTGGAACACGTAGTGAGCACCAAGATAGAACAGCCCACAGCTCTCCCAGGAGGGGTCCCTGTAGGGGTGCCAGGAGGCCCTGGCCGGGGGGCAGCGGGTGGAACAGTGGGAAGCATCCTACATAGGTAGCTCCACATGCATAGATCCTCTTCTGGAGCCGACTCTGTCCAAATGACAAATGCTGGAAGGTAACTGTCAGGAGCTCTCTAATGGGCATGCAGCTTTATCCATAGGTGAATTAGCGTCTCCCTGCCCACCACACATAATGTTTGTGCAGTGCTCACCCCAGCCTGCTCCTCTCCTGAGGCACAGGTGAGCCGTAGGTGCTGGGGCTGGGGACTCCAGCCCTCACAGGTACAGGGGCCTGTCTCATGGGGCCTTCCCTAAAACAGACCCATTATAGCAGAAATAAACACAACTAATTTCTTTACAGAAAAAGCTATTATAACCAGGGCTATAGACAATGTTCGTGTCCCCCCTCAAATTCATATCCTGAAGGCTTCCCCTCCAACATGATGGTATGAGGAAGTGAGGCCTTTGGGAGGTGATGAAGTCTTCAGGGTGGAGCCTTCATGAATGGAATCAGTGCTCTTATAAAAGAGACCCCAGAGAGATCCCTCTCCCCTTTTACCATGTGAGGACACAGCGAGAAGGTACTGGCTGTGAGCCAGGACAAGGGCCCTCATCCAACACCAGATCAGCTAGAACTTTGATCTTGGACTTGCTGGCCTCCAGAACTGTGAGTAATAAATTTCTGTTGTTTATGATGTTTCTGTTATAGCAGCCCATACAGACTTAGACAACTATCTTGTTCTTTTCTTTTTTATTATTATTAAGTTTATTGGGGTAACATTGGTTAATACAATTATATAATTTTTAGGTGTACATTCTAATTTGACATCTATATATTCTATTGTGTGATTACCACCTAAAGTCTAGTTTCCTTCAGCTACCATATATTTGAGCCCCTTTACCCCCTTTCCCCTCCTCCTACCTCCCTATATTTGACCCCCTGTCCCCCATCTACCTCCCCCCTCCTCCCCCACCCCCTACCTTCTGGTAACCACTAGTCCATTGTCCATGTCCATGAGTCTCTGTTTGTCCTGTTCATTTGTTGCTTTTAGGTTTGTAGCCCACATATAAGCGATATTATGTGATTTTCTACTTTTTCAGTCTGGCTTATTTCGCTTAGCATGATTATCTTGAGGTCCATCCACGTTGTTATAAATGGCAGTGTTTCATCTCTTCTTATGGCTGAGTAATTTTCCATTGTATGTATGTACCACAGCTTCTTTAACCAATCATCTATCGTAGGACACTTCGGTTGCTGCCATGTTATCTTGTTCTTTTCTAATCTTTTTTCTATATATATATAGATCACCTGACTTATCTCTGGGTACAAGAATTGGAGGCAGTTTTTACTGCGTTTTGACACATTTCTATATTTTCCAAATTTGCTACCATAAGTATATATTAGCTATTAAATATGGCAAAGTATATTTAATAGGGTGGTAACATCTCCTGTGTGTTGTACTTGCCCTCTCCCATCTCATGGTGTAGTGTCCCCTCCTCCCCCCAAGTACGTGTAGATTTAAAACTCCATTTCTCTATCTGGATGAAGTACAGGTAATTGAAGTCAACTGCGTAAAGGGTGGATGCAAGCCAAGTGTCCACCGATGGAAGAATGGACAAACAAAATGGTATGTACAGATAATGGAATATGATTGTCTTAAAAAGAAAGGAAATTCTGATGCATCTATGGACATAAATGAACTTTGCGGACATTATGCTAAGTAAAATAAGCCAGATGCAAAGGGCAAATACTGCATTATTCCATTTATATGAGGTACCCAGAGTTGTCAAATGCATAGACCCAGAAAGGAGCATGGGGGTTGCCCAGGGCTGAAGGGAGGGCGGAGTGGGGAGTTAGCGTTTAACAGGGACAGAGTTTCAGCTGGGGAAGATGCAAAACTCTGGAGATGGAAGGTGGTAATGGTTGCACTACAAAGTGAATGTACTTAATGATAATAAACTGTATACTTTAAAATAGTTAAAATGGTAAATTATTATATATAGATGTCAAATTATAATATACACCTGAAAATCATATAATTGTATTAACCAATGTTACCCCAATAAACTTAAAACTATAAAATAAAGAAAAAATAAACAAAGAAAATAAAATGGTAAATTATGTATATTGTACTACAATAAAAAAATAAAAATACTTGGGAAAAAACAGGTAATAAATACTCAAAACTCATCCCAAAAGAAAAAAAGTCATCCATGTTCATAGAGGAATCACTTTAGGACTGAGGCAAAAATGAGACCAGGAAATGGAAATGCAGCATAGAACTCCTCATGTAGGCTCTAAAGCTGAGACAAAGTTGACAAGGGGCTTTTGGAGAAAAGTGGAAGTTCCTATCCTGAGTTCCTTGAGGGTGAGGACTGTGTCTTGTTCACCTTTTGTCTCCAGTGCCAGGCGCAGCCCCTCACACTTAGCAGAGGCTCGCTTGTGGGTTCTAGGTA